GTGTGTGTGTGTGTGTGTGTGTGTGTGGGTTTGTGATTTCGTGGATGTGTAGGCGAGTGTGTGGTTTTATGTGGGAGGGGTTGTAGGTATGTGCGCGAGTATACGAGTGTGTGGGAGAGTGTGTGGGTTGGTTGGTAGGCAGGTATGTGTGTGGGGGGGTTGGTAGGTGGGGGGTGTATTTCGAGGAGGCTCCTCTTTTGAGCCCGCCGCCAAGAGGCACGCAATTCACGTGCGCATTTGCAAACGCGAGCAACTTCACTTTGGTCCCGGAACAGAGGGTGACTCGTACTATGGTGGACAGTTACCCAACGTAGAAAAGCACTTCGAAGGCAAAGCTCCTTCTTGAGCAAAAAGGAACCTTTTTCTAATAACACGCGTTCGTTACGCGTGTGATGCTTACTCTTTTGTTTTCAATCGTTTTCCAAAGGCTCCTCAAGTCTCTTAGGATTTCAGTGCTGTTTTTTTCGCGGCGAGTGTTCCTTCTCGTCCCCATGCTGACAGTCACACGTCTCCCTCGTTGCGGACATTTGACTGCGCGACAGCGTGGCGATAAAAATTTGAAAAAGCAAGCCGCCATGCAGGAGAGGCCGTATTTGCATCAGGACTATGTCCACAGACTTTCAGGATACGGGTAACCTAGAGCATCAGGACCCAAAGAGTTCCTGACAGTTTTACTCTTCGAATTCAGATCACAGATTCGGGATTGCTCGAACGGGTACAATGGAACGAGACTGTCCCGTATTCCGGGAGCCTACACACGAGCGGTTTCCCTGCCTGGCAGCGGTCACTCGGCGACCCACGTTTAATGTCAATTGAGATTTCGATATCAAGGACCACAGAACGTGGAACATGTTAGAGGAAGAAAATTATCATAGGTAATATCATAAGAGCTTTGGAAGTTGTCGATATATCTCCGTCTTGCGAAGAGAGTTGGGAATTTCTCTGAGAATTTCCGAAGCTTTAATGGTATTTAATAGGACAATTCCACGAATGAAATTACGCGCAACTGAGTTCCAAAATGCGCCAAATATTGAAAATAACTTAAAACTAGATCTTAAAATTAAAAATGTTATGTTATAATACATACGCGATTTATTGGACATCGACATAGCGATCGATGTATATCGCCTCCTAAGATAAATTTCACGAGTTTAACAGTCACATATAAGAACAAGATTTATCAACTTTTTCGTTTCGTTACTTATTTTCATGACAATAATAATTCGCCCCTGCTTAATTTTAATGGATGAAAGGAATAAAGTGCGTTCAATTCATAAGGTGAAAACACGTGTGTACTATTTACTTCCATATCATAAACATTCAACTGATACGAGGCAATGTCACAAATTTTACTATCAATTCATTCAATACTTTTGGAATGAATTTTAATAATTAAACAGTATGTTTACTATTTTCAAAAGCATTTTTATACTTTTGATAAACCAATGTACTGTTAATGCACGTAATCTTGGAAATTCCGATCCTATATCTGAACATTTACCTTTTTAAATTACATCATGATGTAATACAAATAATGTAATCATGTATTACTTCGTAAAAGCGTTTGTTTTGTATTTCAAGAGTCAGCGATTCTGAGCATGACTTGGATTCTTATATTTCTTGGATTACCGGTAAGTTCAAGAAAGGAAATATGTATTCGAGTAGAAAGCAGTTAATTTATTAAACTTTGAATAGTACGTACATATTACCTCAAATGTATATAAACGTTTATAGAGAACTGCAATTTTTTCCGATCCGAGTTCATACGAAGAGAAACAGGCTCTCGCTGCTTCCATCAACTGCTTTCCTTTGACGCGGCCTTTTCCTTCCTGGCGCACCCACGAACTCCTTGCGTCAGGTCCCTTTAAACCCGCGCGCACGCCATTCCTCCGCGCCGCCACCCGGTTTCTGGTAAAACGCCGCGTCGGCGTTGGCGCGGGCCGTCGACGTTCGCCCGCCCGCCCGCTCGCTGGCGCTGCCGTCGGTCATCAACCTCCACAGCCTCAACAGCGGCTCCCAGCGCCGGCGGCGGCCGCTGTCTCCACACGCAACATCACGCCCGCCAGGGGCGGATTAACCATTTTGCCGCTCTAGCACAACTACTATTTTCCATATTTTGTTTACATTAAACAAAAACAACGCGATATGGAATAAAAAATATCATTTATTCAAGTATGATTACAGTGTGACAATCTTTATCAAGATACAAACTGTGTACGAGTTGTTTCTCGTCCGAATTCATTGATAATTGTATTCATTAATAATCTATTTGTTACAGAAAATGCTTTCAATACAAAGAACAGCTAATGAATTAAGGACTTCATTCATTGTCTATCGTAAGTGTTTTTTTATTATTTCTAAGCAAGAAAATGATACACTAAGCAAGAACATAACACTATACAATTCGCAGCATACATACGACATAAGTCTATATTGGGTAGACATTTCGTAATTCTTCTTCATGTCACTATTTTCTTAGTGAAATGGGATTCGTTGGCTTCATTTCTGGATTGAGTGTTCTTAAATAAGATTTCAAATGAAATTGTTAAAACATGAATGTGTTTAGAAACTTATACAACATAAACGATTTAAAACTTGTCCGCCCCTAAGAATGTGCCGCCCTAGGCCAGAGCATGTACGGTAATACTCCACTGGCGCTCGCCGCGCTGTGCTGCGCTCCGCTCGCTCACCTTGATGGCGATCTCTAGCTCCTCCTCCCTCATGACGTCGGCGGCGGCGGTGGCGGCGGCGGCGGCGGAGACTGCGAAGACTAGGGCGGCGGCGGCGGCGGACGCGGAGGCGGAGGCGACGGCGGCGGCGTCGGAAGAGGCGACGGAGGCGGTGGCGGCGGCGGAGCGGGGGCGTGCACGGATCAGTGCCTCCAGGCCACGACCAGCATTCTGAAATGGGCGAAACGCGCGCGTTACAGCTTCTGATACCTGATAGCCTCTCGCATTAACAAACCCGTCCGACTAGCTGGCTGCCCGCTCGCCTAGCTGCCTCATTGAAACTAGAGATGCCTTTTCTTAAGGTCTGGCGTACGAGTGGGAGAAATTAGTTGGGAAGATACGGGACTACTTACAATTCCATGTGAAAGAAACCGGGAGTCTGTTCTTTTATCGAGTCAATTTTATGTAAAATTTATTCATAAAGGCCAATCTATGCTGATGCCTTGTTTCGTGGAGAATGTTCTAATTTATTCCACAAAGAATGAAAATTGCACGTCTGTAAATGTGGAATGAATTAATGTAAAGCGCTATAACTCAAAAGTAGAAGAATATTTCTGAAACGTAATAAAAACTATTTTTATTTCTCCTCTAAGCATTTTTTAGAGAAAACATAAAATATATGATATTTGAGGCAAACTGTCACTCAGCACATCTACGAGATGGCCACGTAATTCGCTAGAGAAAAGTAAGTAGTAACTCAAAGAAATCACTAAACCTGAATTGCAATCCTTTTCATGAGAACAAATCATCCTTTCAAGTGTCATCTGGCAGTTGACAAACGTATGAGGCAAACGGCTTACTTAGGAATTAAGGCGAAATACCGCACGCACGGCAGAAAGAAGTAAAACTTGAAAATCTGACTCACCTGGCTCTCGACTTCCTCTCAGCTTATTCCATCGTCGCAATTACAGGACTTAATATTTCCTACGACACAAATCTACCTATACAGAGACACGCACTCATCAAACGGAAGAACGAAATACTTCACACACTTGGACGCCCACAACGAAACACGGTTCCCGCCGCGTTCCTCTCGAAGATCAGCGTTCTCCGCTGAAGCACTCGACACAATGCCATCGCGCGCCGCGCCACGCCGCCCAGCCGCACGCCAGGTGCCTGCGCCCTCGCCCCCTCCTTTCACGGCGCAGCTTCCCGCCACGGCCGCGAGAGCGCAGCACTTCACCCTGCCACCTCCCGAGGCCGACGCCATCTGACGGAAAGAGCAGAAAGCGTACAATCGGTCTTTAAAACCCATTGGTAAACATCAGACCCGAATTTTTTTTTAACAGGCGTGGATCCACGGGCAAGGAATGATTGAACCTCCCTCCCCCCCTTCATTTGTCACGAAAATTTCAAGAAAAAAAATGTTCGAAAAATTATTAAAACGATTAATCATATCACAGCATGAGCTGAGTGTTGCCTGCGACATTCCAGAAAATCAGTAATATAACACATTTGACCAAAACATTTTGAATTTCCCCTCCCATAATTTGTCTCTGGATCCGCTCTTGTTTCCAATCATATATATCAATGTAAATGATTTGAGAAAAAAAAATATTTAAAGCGTACATATTATTTTTCTCATTTTACTTTTTTAAGTAATTCATCTTTGTTGTCCTAACTAAAAGATCGACATCACTTAGTGCTAGTCCTGATGTAGGGGGTAAATTTGAATAACCTGCGAATATGGTGTAGAATTAATGTAAATTAGCATAATATTCAAAGAAAATTATGAGTATTAAAAATAGTTTTTGTGTTGTTTAAAAATGTGATTTCTTTTTACTTAATAAAGAAATTTCTTCCTTCAAAGAATTCACATTGTATTTGATAATAATCCAAAAATTATCTACATAACAAATTGGATAATTGATGCACATTCTATAGGAATTCATAACTTATTTTAGCAATTGTTAATATCGAAGAAATTTTGTCATCCAATGTCTAAAAATCGCCAAATACTCTTTCTTCTACAATCGTACTTTCAACCAGTAGGCTTTTCAGAAAAAAATAGGTTTAAAACAATATGTATTAAGTTGTAGAGCACAAATTATATACACAAAATTTATATCTGAAAGTTGGCAAACATAAATGCTTCTTGTTCCATTCATATTTAGTATGTTTACATGCTTGACGACTATCAGGATTACGACCAGGAGAATTTTAATAAGAAAACATAAATAGAATTCTGTTTAATGTTTCTCTTTATGTGACGAGAATGGTTTGAAATTTAACTTTTTCCAACGAAAATTGATCTAAAGAAATAGAAATCATATTTTTCACAATTATATATTTTCTGGCAGAAAGAAAAACTGTTTAAATTTATTTTGCAATTATTCTGTATTCCACGCTTCAATTGTTGTAAACCTTTAAGGGGCCGTGACTTAGTGATTCTCGACATGAATCCTCACACATTGCCGTAGAAACGTGTTTCCTGGATTTTCGTTCATTAAAATTAAGAGGATGACATCAAAATTTACCACAGATCAAGAACTACGTTGTGGATGAAAAAAATGACCCTAGCACGTTATCGTGCAGGGTCATTTCTGTTATCGCTGAAAAGGTTATACATGCATGTGTTCGTATCCTAATTAGAAAACTACTCTTTCGAAGTACTAAAACTAATATACTTTGTACTTTGCAGCCACTTCACTGTTATATCATCATATTCAAAAGCGATAACATGTACCCCACCGGAGACTTTCGAAGGATGCAAGTTCGACTCTTGCATGTTGGATCCACGAACACCGGAGCCAACTATTGTGATCATTGGTGCAGGAATTGCAGGTCTGTCTGCCGCCCAAAGACTAGTGCAATGCGGTATAAAAAAGTTCAACATTTTGGAAGCTACCGACCGGTAAGTAGTTTGGACAGTAACATAAACCATTTAAAAGGGATTTCGGAAGTTTTTAAAGAAAATACTTTTTGAAGTAAAATGTTTAGACACGAAAATCGGGTTACCAAGCATTCCACAAGAAGTAACCTGCGTAGAGTCAGAAAGATGAAATTATCGCATATCCTTTATAGTTATATTTTATGAAATTCAATTTTTAAAGCCTTAATATATTTGCATAAACTAAATATTTATTGTATTGATTTCAAATTAATGGATATCATTATGCTTTGAAATGACTTTCAATATTATATTAATTATTAGTTGATGTTATGATAAATCAATGAGCTAACGTATTAGAATTGTGAAGATAAGAAGTGAATAAATGCCGATAAGAGATTTTTGGTAATCTAACAAGTATTTTGTAATATATTTTGGCGATTAATACAATGTATTCTCAAAATGGAATTAACTTTCGTTACTACTTTGTGAGAAATACTCATTGCGCGATATTGAAACTGAATTGGATGAACGAGTTCTATCACTGAAAAAGATGAATTCGCATTATGATCAAACAATATTCACGTAGCATTTAAGACATATAAACATACTTCACAAGTTTGAAAATCAAACTCATTTCAATATCAAGGACTTTTGTAGTTCTATGGACAGTACACTTTCACTTCTCAAACTTCACCTAATACGTCGTAAGTGTCCCAAACATTCTGAGCTGTAAATCACAGAATGCTCACATTTGGCGACGTGTTCGAAAATAAAACAGGATAAGAATAAATGACACGGATGACAAAGATGATAATGATCATTTTGATGACAAATAAATAAATATGGAAATGAGAAATGATAAAATCTTATTTCGCTTAAGATAAAAGGAAGTCATAATGTGTCCTCAATTAAGACGGGCATTTTCTAAAGGTCAAAATTAAAAGGTACAGATTTCGGCATGATTGTGTTTGAAACAAAGTAATTATCTACACCAACGTGACATTTAGTCTTCATCTTTTTATATCAGAATTCTTAAAAGATATTGTCTAAAATCTATGTTCTTCGTTCTATGGAGGGTATGTGGATGCTCTTATTTGAATGTCTTAGGTCTCTGCATAATTATTTTCTTTGATTCAGCACTTATCTGGATGGAATTGATAAAATTAGACAATATACCCCTGCTACCCCTTTCTAATACCGTGAGTGTCGCGCATGAACAGAGTGACTGGGCTCAAAACTGGGTTAATGGCGTGAACGCTAAAGTACTTCACGTTGTGAGGTAAACTTAGGTCTTTTTCCTTATCGGAACGAGTCATCTATGACGCTGCGAGATCGGCGAACGGAAACTAAGAACGATTGGCGCGAAGGAAGGCATTCTTTATTTTTGTTTTGTTATTTAAGGTCGCGTCAACTTCTAGGTCATTAGCGACCACTATTGCGTGTAACGGTATGGTAACTATGAGGATGACACGTTATGATGATGATAGGAGGTAAAAGGACGAACACAATACAACTATGCCCGACGCGGGGCTCAAACCCGCGATCCTTCGGTCCGAGTTTGCTACGGGACTACTACCTTAGCAATCTCGGGCATCCGGACCGGCAGGGGGCCTTCTGTTTACGTAGTTTGAATCATAGTAGTAAATTATGCGTCCCACAGGCGCAAGGATATCTTAAATTTATCGCAAAGGACGAAGGCTGGAGCGTCGCCACCGAAATTCCACTTGCGTAACGTAGCGTCAAAATGTGAAGTTAAAAGTGTTTAGCAAAAAGTTACTTTGACATAAAATGCGTTGGGCCGTCTCAAGGATGAAATCGTGTAGGCCGAAGACTGCAACCTCGTCGCTGGATTGTTCAATAGACATAACTTAACATCACTGTGTCGTTAAAGTTCGAAGTTACAAATACGATCCCAATACGAGCCCCTACAACTCCGTGCACAGACAGTTTAGGACACAGGATACATTGAAAGGGGCCGCCATTGGCTACCACTGTAGTGGATTTGCGCGCGTGTTTCAAATCTGACTCTGCAATTGTCTTTCTTTTCATCACTATCTTTGTTGTGGGGTGGGTAACTGAAATAAAAATATAAAAAGAAAAACTAAACCATTAGCTGTGTATGGAGAATATTTAGATACACGTTGTCTACGCCAGTTGCCATTTTTCTTTAACAATCCATAAATGAAGTTTTCACACGAAAAGTCTTCAACATTTGCAGTTAATTACTGATTAATGTACAACGCAGATGTTACCCTCGTAATATTTCGTTCTGAAGAGGCAAACAGTGCGAACTTGTGTACTTAATTTGAACTTGCAACAATGAATCTCCTATAGTACATACGCCAGACAATTCTTAACCATATTATATCACGTTTTTTTTTCAAACAATGAAAAAATACATGCACAGAAAAGAACATATCGTTATTCTAAACAACCAACTTGCTCCTATCACAATCATAACGATGTCTACGAGATATAGAGGAATTACTCTAAGAAGGGACTAGTTTGAAATGTAGGGTACCACGTGAATGACTCGTAGGACAACGGCATTGCAAGAGGTAGTGATGACACAAGTGAGGTAAAGGTAAGAAGCCCACTGGCGAATTGTGTGCATGGACATGAACTGCAGTTATGTTGCCAGCAATAGCCAAGCAGTAGTTGTCAAAGCAGTCCCTTCTTAGACTAATATTCTATACACACGTTTCCACTACAATGGCGTCCTTCAAAATTATTCTGCGAGAGCAGCGCTCTCAGTGGGTATAGTTTTCTTTTTGTCGCGAATTACCCGTCTAAAACTACGTGGACATACACCTGCACTTCCTGAGGCTCTGTGTATCATACACCTTATTCCGTGGCAAGTGTATGTGACACCTTTTTTGGAGGATCAGCATTATAATGAATTAAGTTTCTGACCCCGAGTGTTGCTAGTTCTGGGAAGATGGGAGATAGTATGATGATGATAAAGGAGAGTGAATGGACGACACAAACATACACAAACCCACCCATGCCCGAGGCGGAACTCAAACCCGCGATCCTTCCGTCCGAGATCGCCACGGCACTACTGCCTAAGCGATCTCAGCTCTCCGCGTAGTATAGTCTAGATTAATAACATTCTAACGTGTATGCCCCATTTCCGCTCATGCTGGCGCCAATTTTCACGTTTGATTTGAATATCAGATAGAGCAGCTAAAGATACAATATTCGCAATCTTATCTTGTAACTGAAATCAAAACTCTGATTGGTGCTAAATTTCCAGAGAATTTAATTTTCCCAGGATCGGCCAAGAGAATTTCCAGAGACTGGTTTTACATGCCGTCAAGCTTCCGCAATAATGCCGTGGCTTCTTGGCAAAAAATAAAAAAAAAATAAAAAAAAAA